CTATAACACGTTTATTTCACGACCCCCCCCCACAGAGATGATTGACAGGTGCCACGCCCCCTCCATTGTATTCACTGAGTACCCCTAGCTACTACTGTCTGATTTCAAAAGTTTGTGAATACGAAACTGTTTTCGATTCCATAATTATTACACATCTTATCTTACCTTCAGATCTTCCAGAAATCTTTTGAAAGCAACATCGCTTGCTACAGGCACAACATCTGATGATTTTTAGTTGGTTCTCTTATGAAAAATTGGGAGTGATTCACTTTAACTTTGTGTATGCAAAAAAATGATCAATATTATGACTGATTGTTTGCAAATAAGTGATTAATATTATAAGTGATAAGTTTGTGTATGCGAATAAGTTATCAATAGTAAGAAAGAGAAAAAGTGATTAATATTATCACCTGTTCCCCAGAAGGTACTTAGAATCTGCTATGCATTAGGTAACCCAGTATTAATGCAGTTGACATAAAAATGTTTTATGTAAATTATATATATGCAAAAAATATTCAAGTATTTTTGTTAAGAACCCTACAACCATTTCTATACAATGTAAGTGGAGCAAACATAAAAAATTCTGAACCATATTTCCGTCTAAAAACAAAAGTTAGTTTCTTTCTTACATTTTTAGAAGTTTTCTTTCACTTGCAAGGCTCAGACGTGCATGAAGGCTTTTCCTGACCCTTTTTTAGACACTTTTCAATGAAAAAGAGAGTTAATCCCACATGTGAGCAAGTTTCTCCCAATCTGAAAAAAAAAGTCGTAAAATATTATTAGCTTTGCTGGCCATTTTTTAAACAATTAATATTTAATAAGATTGGAATTGACTATTAAGATGATTAATTTAAGTTAGGTAATCAGAGGAATATTTTGATATGCACAGATATGCTGCAAACCAGCAGCACAAATATAATTTGGCAGGTTGCATTAGAGTAAATCACAGGAGTTGAAGTTCAATTTTATCCCCCTTAATATTATTTTTAAAAAAAACATCGGCTCACAAATTCACCAGTTGGTAGTTATACCCTAAATTCTAATTAGAACCAGAACAATCCAAATTGAAATATCTATAAAGTTTCGTAAAATCTTGTGCATTAATTCCTGAATTAAAACACTAAAAATTTGCTGCCTGTATTTTGAGAAAACACTTGAATATACATGGTGGATTTTGTACACACATGGTTGGTTTGACAACACTAGCGATGTTTGAGAGAGTGATAAATTTAGCAATCTGTAGCTGTAGATTTGGATAGAAATATATTTTTCAATGACTGTTTCGTAGTTACGCAAATGTACATTGATTATGTACGTGATAGATTTCTATTTGCGCATATGGGAGAAGAGTATTGAGTTAAAAAATTTAACAGAACATCTCACTAATTTGTGACATATAACACTGAAAAAGCAAAATTTAGATTTTTTGGAGGTTAAACAATTAGTAAATGGTTAAAACAAAATTAGGTGATTAAAATTATTATAGATTTTATTTAAAAAATAAGCAACATTGATATCCATAGTCTGTATAAAATGAGTCTCAATTTAAAAAGAAAAAATATGCAACCTCAGAATTTCTCGGGAATATTTCCCTATCATGATTTGTTGTGCCAACTACAATCTCCAAAGTGCCAAATAGATTGTAAAATTTCAAATTTTATTAAACGCAAATACATGCAGTGTTTTGCCCAGGAGGGGCTACGAGTAATACCTTTCAAGTGGGTTCCTTTCTGTTAGTTTTTTTTTTAAAGTTCGCAGGCCGCTGCCTGGAAGTTGCTAAGATTTGGAGATTATTCTGCCACAAATAGCAATATGGACATCTCCCTAAATTATCTTCTGAAAAATATTTTAATGCTAAGTAAAATACTTTTACTTAGCATTTCTGTAGGAGTCATTTCTAAAAAATATAAGTGAAATCAATCTGAATATCATAATTAATAAAATATAGCAACGTTAAAAGGTATAAAAACACAATAGTGACACATAATGGAAATAGAGTTTTAGATAGTAAGATTAGCAATGTTACAAACATAACGAATGTTTTCTCTTACCCAGCCATACAAGTGCAATGGCCAGAAATTATTTCTCCAGTATGAGTAGAGATTATCCAAGGCATGTGGATTTTATTTGCTTTTTGACCCGCTTCAACATATGCTGTTACGACACCAACACCAATTTAATTTCTAACTGAACTTTTCTGCATGAAACATAATTGTAACATGGTAGAGTTTCAAAACTTTTAAAAGCAACTTGTGAATGCACTTTGCGCTTTACTACTAAATAAGAATAATGTCAAAAACACTTATATCTGGCAAATTTTTGCTGGAGAAAACCAAATTTCGTAAATCAACATCTAAAGGATCCGGCAATTGCATACCATTATATTATTAATACTCGTATTACTCGCATAAAATTATATTATAATTTTTCTACAGACTTTTCCTTCCCATCTTCATCTAACATTTCAAAATATAAAGAACTCATTTTTACAAAAAAAAACAGAAAATTGCATTCAAAGCAACGAGTTACCGAGTATCCCGATAGTAAACAGGGCATCAAAAAAAGAAATAGTCACATTATGCTATGACGTCACGGAGGAGCCTAAGACTTCCGGTAGGGTTTGTTTGTTTTTTTAGGATAGATGGTGAATACATCTGGATACAGAGTTTCATTTAACACATTTTCACCAACCTTCAGAACTCCATCTTCATTGAAATTAATTTTAACAGCTATTACCTAAAAGTATATAATATTTTTATCTCATTAAAAAAAATTAACTTCTGGACCAAAATCTAATTTTATTGAAAGATAATGCATCAATTCATAAATCTTACCTCATCTAAATGATTATCAGAGAACAGAATTAAGATACTGAAATATCGTGCCGTAAGCCCGGATTTAAACCTTGTGAAAAGCTTTTTGGGGATTTAGTTAAAGTTGTATTTAAAAATAAAAAATAATGCAAAAGTTTTAATCAATGAAATGGAGGGAGAGCAATATTTGTCAAATTCATAAGTTTAATTTATTTGTTGGCATGAAAGGGGTTTATGACTTAAAAAGATTTTTTTTTTTTTGCATAAAATTTATAATAATACCTTTAAATTAAAATTTAGCATAATAATGCTAAATTTCAATTCCTGAATTCTAGCATGTGTTTGTGGAATAAGGTTAATTAATAAGATTAATAAGATAAGGTTCCTTTTTTAAAGAAAGTGCAGTATATTTTTACATTAAAAAAAGATATTTATCTTAAGATCCTAACTATTATGTGTGTTATTTTTCTCAATAGCAATTACGGATAAGTCTGCTGAAAAAAGTATAGGGAGTACGACCGAACAAAAAAATTAACTTGGAAAAAAAACTTTTTTAGGTCAATCTGTCGCCCACTGAAAGGTAACTACGGGTTTAAAATTTGACAGAGCTATTTTTATTAGTGAACATAACGTAACTTTCTAATCGAAATTCGAATTTGTTTGAAAGTCATTACAAATTTTAATACATTTTCGTAATTTTTTATATTTGCTTTAAGTATTTACAATTGATCCATTGTTGCAGAAAATTTATTTTTCCTTTGCGATATCTTCGTTCCGTAATTTTAAAAGAACGCCCTGGCGTATAAGTCAATCTAAAGTAGTTAAATGATTCAGAGAGAGAAATTACGTGTTGCCAGATATAAATTTTAATATTCATAATGAAATCTTAGAAGAGAAAAAAACGTAATTGTTTAAATTTTCCTCAACAAGTAAAATTACTCTTTTTTTTATTCCTTCTTATTGAATCACGGTATAATTTAGGATAATTATTTTATTTTTTCTAAGTTCAAGTAATTTATTTCAAATTCAGGTAATCGTCATGATTTACATGTTAATAAAATGTTTTAAAGTGTTAATACAATGCTCTACAAGGATTTTTTTCTTTTGAAAACAAAATATTTTTTGTTTTAGTAGTAAATGGTATTGTAAGTAGGAAAAAAAAAACAATGATGAATGAAGCAATTACATAGGTGAGTGAGGGGAGCCTCTAAATAATTTATAAATATGTAGTAAATTAATTGATAAATAATTTGTCGGTATTTTTTTATGGAAAAACCCGAGTTATTTTGCTTTTTTTCAGGATTTGCTTGAAACACAAAAGTTATATGTTTGATATTATTTATCACTTGTTTGTTGCAATGTAATCAATTTTTACAGATGGGTTATTATTTTTATTTTTTAACGACAAACGGTTTGTTACATAAAAATTTAAAATTATTCAATTGAAAGATTCCAAATGTTTAATTATAATTTTTGCTCGGTTACCGTTGCACGTTAATCTTTTTATTTTCCATCTCATTATTTAAATATTTTTGGCCAAACAGATTGTTTAGCAATGTTGTCGAAAGTAAATTCCTGTGTTATCTCTGTTTTGTAGTTTTTATGGCAAATTAATAACTGTGTTATATTAAGCTTATTATACATAAATATAACTTACGTAATGTTTAGTAATTGGATAATGATACCGTTTCAATACATACCGTTTTTAATATTTTTTTTCGAAAAAGTTACGAAATGTTACAAGATTACTATACTGTCTTAAGCAAATAAGCCTTTAACTCGGAATAATTGTAAAAATCAAATCATAATAATAGTGGTGAATAACATAAAGAAAGGACGATAAATAGCTATTGCAAGTAAATACCTTCAAAAAAAGGAATTAATAAATAATTTAAATGTGTCGTACTTAAACTATCGGCATTTTTATTCACATCTTAAATAAATGCATAAGTCTTATATACATATCGCTGGTTCAAAACTAAAACGACACATCTGCAAATGTATTTTGCCTGCAGATGTGTCGTTTTAGTTTTGATGCAGTGATATGATAAACTAATATTGATTTTGAATACACCTAGATGTATTGCAATTAAAATTAAATAATTTTATTGTAACAGCTTATTGTTATTTATTTATTTTTTCCTAAAATAAAAGGCAATCTTGTGCAATATTTCCAAAAGGTTAATTACTTCAAATAATGCTTTTTATTTCATATTTTATAAAAAAAAAATTAAATATTTTATGAGGGGCGTCAGTATGGGTTTTGCTCTATCCTAGTGGCTCTATCTATTGTTTTCCTAGATACGCCTCTACCTATCCTCCTGCAAATATGTCTTTTTTTTCCGCCGGAGGGGTGTCTGCATCTGATTGTCCAACTGATGTTTAATCATGAACCTAAAATTCATTACCTAACAACATCTTTGAAACCTCTGGATTTTATACTGATAAATTTGTGGCTCACACCTAATTTTCTTATCTGTTTCAAAACATATTGTTTGACTCAGCCTGTCCTTTTTTGAACCTTTTGTCATACACATACCCGTTTAACACAAATATTTAATTTTAAACGATGCATCCCCACAATGCAGTTTTTTCTGAGAGTATCTTATTGTGAAGCATTTTCTGACCCAGTGTTTGAAATTAAAAAGACGACAGTATTTTAACTGTGGCTTTCCGACTTAAGCAATTTTACTTGGAGACACACCTTATCCTAACTTAATACCTTACCTCAAAGACATCGGATTTTATAATTCGATTTAGTTCAAATTTTAATACATTGACCAGTTTTTACCTAGTTGTATTGATTCTAGCCAAATTACTAATTAATTTTTAATTTGGTTTTGATTTTAACCGATTTTCTTCAAACTCAACCTGTGTGTAGAATTTAACAAAGTTATATAAATTTTAACCAAGTTATATAGACTTTTAACCTAGTTTTAGGCGCGGTATAGCCAAATTGGGGCTCTTGTGCCAAAAATTTACATCACTCATTAAACCCCTCATTTGATCAACTTACACCTTGCTATTGTATATTTATCGCTCAGGCAACATTTCGAAGCTTAATTTCTTAGAAATTGAGATAAAATATTAATATAAGGTTTTTAAATTAAAAGAGAAAAAAATTTAAACTAAAAACATCATTCGCAAACACTTAAGGTTAAATTAAGTATTGTGTAGGTAAAAAAAAAAAAAATGCAAGTCATTTTCAATCGCATCACTACCGCTGTTTTGGAATCGTTAAAATGCTAATTAAGTTTCCCGTTTGTTTGAGGAAAAATTTTAGATATTGAGGCTTTTCTTTTTATGATAAATCTAAACAATTTACGAGAAACTATAATTTTCCATTGTCAAAATTATGAAGAAACAATTTTTTTTATTTTCATAGAATTTCGCGACTTCTAACCCATCTACCGTTACACAAGTCACTTAAATTAATTTAAACATGACATTAAATCAGTGATGCACACTTTTTCCAGCATCTTATAAAAAAATACACGGACAAAGAAAATTCCTAGTTTCCGTTTGTGACCCAATTTTCTATTGTAAGAATTCTTACTGCCAGCCATGCGCGTTATACCCAAGGCCAAGAATGACTCTCCTTTTTTTTAATACCTTAAAAAATTACTTTACCTTTCTAGAGTAGTAGTAACTTGTATTAAGACTTATTTCATAACATTTTGCACCCAATGACATCTTTATTTATCATAACTTTTGGATCATATATTCACACAGATGTCATGTCACTGATTAACTTCATTTTACAGTGCCGGAGAAGTTTACTTGCATTGCGAAATCAAAGTTCCAACCACCTGAAAATAGCAATTACTACAACCTATACATTTATTATTAAGATAAGTCTTACATTTGTGAGTTGTGTTATTATTCGATTTCTACTTTAACCCTTTTCGTTACTGCTGTCCGCTTCGCTAAAGTGATGCCACTAAACGGTGCATTACGCTGCGAAATATGGATATTGCATGTTACGATTTATTATTATATTTTACTTTAGAAGCTAGAAATACTTCATAAATATAACACAATGTAGTAAATTGTTAAGACTTACAATTTAGCTGATTCAAAATATACTTATTATACAGTGGAATTTTGAAACAGAATGGGATTTTACAATGACGCCGGCTAAATACGGTGCTCCTACACACAGGACAGTTTATGGATATCGTTTAAATACGGTGTTCGTACACTTCATCACGTGGATGCCGTATGATGCTCGTGCACTTCACGCTCGTACACTTAATACGGTGCTGAAAGAATTAACAACTTTTAGAACTAAGAATATTAAGCACTTGAAATTATTTTGATTCCAAGGATATCAAAAGTGCTAATAATAGTTGCCTATCTTTGCACTTTCTGTGGAGCGATTTCCATTACGATAGTGAAATTATACTGCAGTAATTTTTTAAGCGGTAATTTTTTTTAAAATTTTAATTATACATCGTATGGTTCTAAGCCTTTAACAAACTTGTTTTTAAAAAATATTAAAAAGGGGATGGAATGTTTAATTAAAGTAATTCGTCAGTTTTTAAATTTAAAAATAAAATCTGCATTAATCAAGTGGGTATTAAATAATCTAAACAATCGGTGAACTTTAAAAAAAGCACCAAAAATGCTCGGAAAAAAGCACATCCTAAATAATTTAAATGCATTTAACAACTGATTAAATTCGTGTCGTTGATCCATTATTTCTTCGAATTAAATTATTATTATTATTTTTAAAGTTAATTTGTAAGGATTAATTTAAATTTCCAGAAAAGTAACTTTCTCCACTTCATACTGCTTTTCAAAAAATTTTATTAATTTAAAATATTTTATAACATTTGTTAATGATTTTAACTTATCAAAATATTAACCCTTTAGAGACTATTGTTAATTAATAAATTTATTCATAATACTATTATACCTTATGTCACTGTATTATATTTTGTCATTGTATTTGTAAAACGATACGGCCAGAATTGATTCTGGTGTTAAATTTATATATATATTATATTATAATTCGTTTTCAAACTGAAGTTTCGTAAAAATAAAAAATACATATTTATATAGATCATATTATTTTGAAGAAGAAAAAAAACTTTTTATCGTCAATTATTTCGTATTTAATATTTAGCGTAAACTACATAGACATTTAAATTTCTGTTCGAAATTTTAAAAAATCCAACCTTTAAAAATTGTTCCAAATTGACCTTTTTAAAAATTGTTCCACATCAGACGAACAATTAGAAATTATAATTTTACACTGATTTTTTATGAATATAAATAGAATTTTTATTACGTATTTGCATTTGCTACTAAGGTATTTGAGGCATATATGATATAGTATATGCCTTAGTCTAGTTGGATTCATTTAAATAAGCTTAATAAATTTGAAAAAGCTTATTTATTTGTTAATAAATAGGTTATATAAATAGGTTATAGGTTGATGATGACCTGACTCATTTCAATAAAGTTAACAAATGACGTCGTCAGCTTGCAAAATGCAGGATTTTGCACTTTGACAAATTTACATTTACAAAACATTTTTTGACAAAATTATTTATTTCATGAGTCACGTTGATTCGCATTCAATTATTAAATCTACGACACCCTTGAATGTAATGGTAATGGTTGGTAGCTCCGTTGTATCAGAAGCTATTAAATAGCTTCTGTTACAACGGAGTATTGATTTTAGATTTAAAAAATAAATAAATATTTGTTTTCTAATAGAAATACAAAAAAAATTCTGAATTTAAGAAAAATAAAAATGTATGTGAGATAAAAATTGAATCTCAAAGTGCTAATATAATTTACCTGTTGTTGTTTTATTATAGAGGGGGAAAAACAACATCAACACCTTAAAAAAAAACAGTTTTATTAATAAAAAAAGTCCTTATCACTCCATTTGTGTAATAATGAAATCATATCAATTTTCATATTTAAATTTTTTCCCTATTTATTCACTTGCCTTTGATTTTTCATGCACACAATAACATTTATTCTTTCATATTTATTTCAAAGCGAAACTTTTCGGGTTCATTGTAAAAGTGAATCATCTGCTCGTAAATGAATTTTGAAATAACGAGCTTTTTTTTCTTCTTCAGATTTATGTGTTAGAAAACAAATAAAGCATTCGTTCAGTGTTATCAATTTTATATTATTTGTACAATAATTAGTTTACATTTATAGGGAAGCGTGATACAATTAAGCAAAAAAATATATATATAAAATTGCACTACCTTTACAATGAACGCCACATTTCATTCTTCGTTTATTTTTAACCATTTTTATATGATGATGCGGCATTGTCAAAACAAAAAACACGTGTACGAGAGGGCGCTTGTGCTTATGTCTGTGCATCCGATCAATAAAACGAATTCTATACTATACCGGGAACCAACACTTCCCCCATCCTCTTTAGTGTCTATTTCTACGTTGTCTGCGCTAGTGAAAATGGTAAGTGGCGTTCTATTTTATTTCTTATTTTGTCCCTGTACTCACGAATAATGCGTCATCCATTTCCCTTTTCCATATGCCCTTCCCTCACTTCCAAATATCGAGATGCTACGATGACGCTTCTCAGCTGTTTGTTCTTGGAAAAAAGAATAAAAAAATGTCTGCGTTTCGTTTAGATCGCGTAGCTGTGCAATACACATATTTATGTATCGGTTTAATGTTAGATTTTAAATTGTATTATTTAAAGTTTCGAGTGTTTTTATTTCCCTCATATTTATCAGTTTTTAAAGCGCGAATAATAATTTATGTTTTTATTCACATCGCCTTTAAGTTTACTACTTCGTTGTTATATAATATTTTTAAAAAAAAATTTCCGATTCTTTTTCTTTTTTTACGTCGACACTCAATCCACCTCTTATTTGTATTTGTTACAATTACTCATTTGTTTAAATCTTTTCATCTCCCTTCATTTTATTATTTTTCTGTTAGAAATTTATTTTCGGCCTTAATTTACTTGTATTTATTTACTTTGAAATTGAGTTTATTCAAGTCTTCTAATGACTGACAATTGAAATTTATAACACCAATCATACATAATAATGTATAACGTTTTTGCCATGTTATCCCATTATTTGATTCGGTGTTTGAAATAAAATCACCCCCATTATTCCAATATTACACCTTCATTCCATACAAATAAATCGTGTATTTTGTAATTATGTAAATGAAAAAAGTATGTAACGCTTCACAAGAAATAAATTTTTAATGATGCTATCAAAATAATACAGAGATCTAAGATATACGTAATGAACAATGAATCAGCGAATCGATATGATCCCATTATTTTTATTCACCATGTATTTGTAAAGCGAATTGATTATATTTATTACATGTACAGAATATTTTATTTGTATCGGCGAGAGTAAACAAGAAGTAACTAAATGCAGCTGCTCTATTTTTCTCTTTTAATCAATAGGTTTCTAATTTATCAACTGTGTATCTCTGATTGACAAATAAAAAAAAAATCTATTGTATTAATTATTCCCTTTTTCTACTTATTGATTTTATTTTTTTGTTTATTAATACAATAAAATATTATGCAATTACATTGCATAGAAAAACATACATACTTTATTTTGATAAAAATAAAGCTGAAAAATTTCAAAAAAATCATGAAGCAATTTATTACGAAGATTTCTTGCCAATTCTAATTTTTTTTTTTTTTTTTTTTTTTTTTTTTTTTTTTTTTTTTTTTTTTTTTNTTTTTTTTTTTTGTTGCATAAAATGTCAACTATTTCTTTTTCTACCTAGCTGTTGCCTTCCGTTCTACGTACAGTGCGTAAAAAAAAATACAAATGGACAACTCTGAATAACTTTTAATCTAATAATCGGACGTTCTATTAATACAATAATTTTGTTTACTAATACAATAAAATATTATGCAATTACATTGCATAGAAAAACATGCATACCTTATTTTGATAAAAATAACGCTATAAAATTTCAAAAAAATCATGACGTAATTAATTACGAAGATTTCTTGCCAATTTTACATTTTTTTTTTTTTTTTTTTTTTTTTTTTNTTTTTTTTTTTTTTCATTTTTTTTTTTTTTTTTTTGCATGAAATGTCAACTATTTCTTTTTCTACCTAAGCTGCTGCCTTCGGTTCTACGTACAGTGCGCAAAATAAATAAATAAATGGACTGCTCTGAATAACTTTTAATCTAATAATCGGATCTTCACGTTCTAGGACTCAAACTTAATTACTCGTGAGGATGATCACAAATATGTTAATAATTTAGTGCAGGCGATATTTTAAATTACGAAATCAGACACAACAACGTACTTTCTCTGAATAAACATGTCTTTTTTTTCCCAACGGGTTCGGATTTCTGACCTCCAAATTATGGTCCCCATAGTTTGGTCAGGAGAGCAATCCAAAGTTTGGACCCCTTAAATGAGAGAAACAAATTGGTTTCATATTTCATAAAATTGTTTAGAACCGTTTGCTCTTTAACGAATTGTAGAGTTTTTTCCTCTGGGAATTTCGATAATATGCTACAATAATATAATTATTTCAAAATAGACATTGCCTTCAAATAAAATATTTTTTGAGTAAGATCTTCAAGCACAATTCCTTTTTCCGCTTGCTTCAACCAGGCTCGGGAAAAAGTTCTACCAACAAGTCCACCTAGTGGCACCAATCCAAGATTAAATGAATCTTTTCTGTATCGATTTTAAGATCGACGAGGTTTTTTCAAAACCTCATCTGTTTTTAGACTTCCTGGACATTTTTGGACTTATGGAATTGGTCTAATTGGGATGGACCTCTTGGGGATTAGAAACAACAACATGAATCTTTTAAGAAGAACCTTTTCAATTTTTTAAAGCCATACCTTGATAAGTCTTTGAAAAATTTTGCTATCACTTGTAAGGTTCCAAACAGTCTTACTACTGCAATGACTGAAGATGTGACATCGCATAAAAATACGTACATGGGCGCAGCACTAGACATGCTCTGCTCAAATAATCGCATACTCACACCGCATTTTTGACGCTCATATTTAACTAAAACGAAACCAACATTTATATATCATTCTAAAATGACAGACTTCAGAGCCATGTTTTACTGATCTAGCCTACCCCCTATATTTTGATTATTTATATTTTTAAATTTATTTCTGACCAGAAAGGTATGTTTAATTAGAGAAGTACGTTATTAATTCTGATTTTGTAACTACTGTATTCTGTAAACAGGCTACTTGTTAGCAAGAATTCGTACATTTGAGAACACCCCTTTAAACCATTATGAAAGGCAAAGTTTGTGTAAATCCGATTTCTAGAAGAGTTAAAAAGTTATTCAAGGTGATATCTTTTTTTTTCCGCATTGACTTTAATCTGTTTAAAAACATTGGTTTAAAACGGGCATAAAAGCACTATTATTTCAAACAGATTAAAATTATGAACAGAATTTTTTTATCACTTTTAAAATATCAAGGATTGCTTATAAACTTATGTTTATTGCTTAATTATTAACGTGAATAGTCTATTAAATTTAACTAGTGAGCTGCGCCCCTTGCTCTCCAACCCCCGAAATTTGCTACGCAATCTTATATGGTTTGCTTCGCTTCGCTCGCTACTAACTTAGGCACATTGCAAATGCACAAATTTCTAAGAATTGAAAACAATCATTCAAATCCATGTTACAACTTTTTTTTGAAAAAAAAATTACATCTTTTTAGTAAATTTGAATTCAAATAAATGACATGTAATTCGTTAAACCTATTAGAAATGTGCTATAGTATAAAATCTTAAGATACAATTTCTAAAACTGATATCTCTTTAAAAAGATTAAAATTTTGGCTATAATTAAGTCTATTAAAAATTGAAATAAGTGAATTGCAATGGAAAAACCTTGTTTTTAAAAATTATAACCATGAAAGATTCACAACTTTGTTAAAAACACGAGTCTTAGAACTTTGACATACAAAAGAACTAATAACAATAATAAAACAAATAAATTCGTGATATAAATCAAAAATCGGCAAATAAATTCGTGAAAAAAGCTTTTTCGACAAAATACTAAAATAGAGATCTATCGACAAAGACTACTCATTTCTGCCTAGCTTAATAGTATGAGATTGCCGCAGGTGAGAATGCTCTCTCTGGTTATTTCAGTTTCCGTTTTCAAAAGCGCTATATGTTGAGCCACCTGATCTAGATTCGGCATGTGACATTTTTAGCGGCAATCATTGGTCGATTTTCTAGCGTTGCCATTCGGAGAGTTGTAATGAGGCTTTTTTTTGTCACCGTGTAAGAGAAATATATATATAGATTATAATGATGCATTAATTCATACACTACAAAATAAAATGATACTATAACAATACAATATTAACAACGGGCATATTAAGCAGTTGAAATAAAACTTTTTTTCGAACAACGTCGGAAGTAATACAGTCTAAGTGAGTAACGTTAATTTATAGTATAGGATGCGTATACGCAGTAATTCATAAAATAAAGAGACCCCGACGGATTAAACGTACACCAGTCACCGTTTAATTCGAACTCCCGTTCTCACGAATAAGAGTCCAACGCTCTACCAACCAGGCTAAGATGAATTCGAATCAGGTTTCATGCATGTGGCTAGAAATTGAAAGGTATAAAATCATTTAGATTAGCTTAGTTATTACTAGTATTTTAATCTATTATTCTTGGTTTAATAAATTTGATTTATAGGGTTTTTTACCTACTACTACTTCTAAATAATTTGAAGACTTGATAGGTTTGGCTATTTCACTAAGTCTTTATTAATGTCTATCTAAACTTGAGCTCTTAAGCATATATAATACTTATATATTATATTTATTGATACTTATAAATTATTTGAATGTATTGTAACTATAATCACATCCTAAAAATTTTTATATAAATTATTTATTTATTACTAACTCATTTTTACAGTTTCATCTACTCATCTTGTTTATATCATCGTTTCCACTTTTTCCTCTTGTACTTGCATTCTTTCTAATAACTGGTTTGTGGAAAAAGTTTAAGCCTGAAAAGACATCCAAGAAATTTATACCAACTCTGAAATGCTCTCCCGTGTTATTTTTCTATTTTATGATGGCAGGCATGATAAAAAGACTTCATTATGGTTTAAATTATGTTTTATGTCGTAAGTATAATTTAAGTTTCTGCTTTTTAAAATATCAATTGTATATTGCTTTTAAATTAAATGTCTCTGTTATATATATGTATATAACCTTTGTGCAATATGGTGAAAAGCCATAAATTTTTCAGGGATGCCAACTGCTCGACTTTCGGCCAAAAATTTATATGGTGGTATAATATATATATTTTCTATATCGCCAATACTTATAAATGCAAAACATGTGTGTCACACCTGGCGTTTTAGACCGAATACCTATGTCTGAGTGGTGTTTTCGCAATAATTTGAAATGCATAAATAAGTTCAGCTCCCCTGCTCTTAATTTTAACTTTAAACAACACTGAAACAATTTTATCGCAATATAGAATTATGCAACATCTTCCACGTACATGTATATATCTATGATACACTTAATTGGTGACAGCACTCCTCAGTAATTCTTTGAGATGCTGGTTAGTTAATACTGATCGTTGTTTGGATTTCACGAATTTTAAAGTGAATTAAAATGATTCACCTAAGTACGTTGTTCCGAATATTGAAATAAATCGACAAGCAGCCTGTTTTAATTCAGGATACTTCGATTCTGGTACAAATTTCCAAAATTCAGTAATCGACGTATTTTAATTGTAGAGCTTCTTGCATCTCTATTAATTCTACTTCTCCTGATGCTTTTTGGGTCATAATTACATTGGAAATGGAAACCACTCACTTGAATTATGTTAATTTCAAATGGATTCAGAGAAAAATTAAGAGACGATTTAAAATATTTCAAGTCTTGAAATCTATTTTAGAATTCCGTCAATAGTCCTTCTAGATTTTTTATACATTCGTTGAATTTTTCTTGTTAATATTGGGAGGAAAAAATTATAATTCGAGAAAAATGACAAAATGTTTAATTTTTAATGTCATTTTGAAAAAGTTGTAATTTAGTTTGAGAACTAAATATACACTGTGAGAGGTCAGATATTATTTTATCTTTCCCTTGCAATCGTAAACTCAGTGTTTGCAAATGTTCCCTGACATCAGTTAAGAACGTTGGGGACGGTGGACTTCATAAACTTTTTATTTTCTTTAAATCAGCTATGAAATTTTGTTAAAACATTAGGGTTCTAACCTTATTAACAGTAAATTAAAAAAAAACTGAAAAACTTGAAATAAAATTCATTTTTTAAAATTTTTTTGAAAAATTTAAATTTTTTCAAAATGTTCCTCGCGGGACAATTTACAATATATTTTGAAACTTTTAGCAAAAAAATGTTGTATGCTAAATTGGAATGTTTTGTAAGGATTATTTTTTAAATCTAAAAATAATTTAATTAAAAAAATTTATTATTAATTATTTGTAAATTTTGGGATTTTTTTAGCAACGATGAAAATTTTTTTGACTTAAAATAAAAATAAAACTTAAAAAATCCTCTAATATGTTTATTATAGTTTTCAAAATATCATTTTAAATTTTGGAGGGCTTCGCTAAAAAATTACCCCGCAAGGAACATTTTTGAGCTAGAAAAATGCACAAATTGAGAAAAATGCGTTCAAAGTAAATTTATTGCTTACATCACATATTTGTTCAAATAAAGTTAGTAAATTTTTTTTTATGGTAAACATAAATTAGAAAATTTATTGATGCACAGTAAATTGAGTTTAAATTGAACAGAAATAAAAATTGCTATAATAATTGATTGCGTGAAAAGAACAAAATTTAGAAGCATTTCACTTTAAAATTTTCCAGGTGCATATATACTGCCTTCTTTTTTAAAATTTTTTTTTCTTCATTCGCAGTGCCATATTTTTTAGTTAATCTGTGTGTCTTTTATAAAATTTAAGGTTCCTTTGAGCACTTTGTGATAAACGACGCTTATCACCTTTTTCGGCAATGTTCAAGGAAAAGTAATCTGTTTCGTCTTTTTCAAGGTACTATGTATTTACACAGCTAAAGTTAAATCCAGATGCACTTGAAATCACTGCCAACTCCGAGCGTTCTTTAGAGACAAATGTTTCTTTTGAACACTTATTCCAAATGAGGCTATAAATGCTCTCATTGGCATTTTCTGTTCCACCTGACGTACATCTCTTCAACAATTCATCACTCGCTAGCCTCTGATATATTGGCAAACTTTTGGAGAGCGCATCTTCTGAGATGTAAGTTTTCATAGCTTCATGAGAAGGTGGAATTTCTGAGGAAGCAAGTGCCCTTTGAAAAAAGCACCAAGATGGTACACCGGTTGGACATTTACTATGTTTCGGTGCTTTGTCGGACGATGAACAATGCAGTAAAGAAGCGTATATAGCTAATTTCATTTTTGTTATGTCTGGACAATTGTCTTTGATTGCCTTCCTATAAAAATTTGTCATCTTTATTATGGTACTTTCTTTGAGTCTGCCTTTTTTGCGCCCTCCAATTGTTACTCCTTTACTTCTCAGCTCTTTTACTTTATTGCGCAACCCTGTGCCCAGTCTTTCGGACACATGGTTGAGGCATTCCTCTTTTACGATTTGCACATCCTCGCCGTAAGGTTTTAATTCAACTAGATGTTGATAAGTTCTCGAATCTCCATCTGATATAATATTTAGGTAGCGGAAACCGCAATATTTTACAGATCTGCTCCATAATATGCCTGCAAGAACCATCTCCATGGAGCCTGAGGACCCGCTGAAATTTTTTGAACACTCAGATTCGTGCCCATTATACCAAATGGAGAATTCAGCACTATCATTTCCCAAGTCTCTTTTTGCCGCAGTGCATTGCGAGCAATATTTTGATGAGATTTCAAAGTCTACGGCTAATCCCGTCTACACATCGATTACGACGCCAAGTCCATATAGCGAGGTATGGCCTCGCTTGTGCCACGAACCATCGAACGAGACTGTGATGTCAAGAAGTTTTTCGTCATCAGATAAACAATTTATTTCTAAATGTGTCTTTCGAACAATTTGGCGGGCAACACACAGCATATCCTCTCTAAATGTTTTCTTTTCTTCACATAAACTTTGCAAACATTTTGAGAAAGTTTTTTTTGTCCATTGTTTGAATTCCTAAAGCAATAGAAAATTGTTCCAAAGACGCATGTTCTTTACCAATTTTCAGAAATGCTTCGACAAGTTCTATGTTGGCGAGAAAAGATTTTGATTCTTCACAACGAGGACTAGAAAAAGATGATCCAAGTATTGTTTCACAATTTCTGCAATATAGTTCTAGTTTGGAAGAATACCCATATTGTTCTTTGCAAGCAACATCAACAGCTGCTTCATTACATTACGTACAATTTATGTTTTTGAGTAAAGTACTCCACATATTTTTTGTTGATAAGAACATAGTTAGGGGTCTTCTGAACTTCCTCAGAAGTAACTTGACTATTGTTCAAAGTTCTCACCGGGAATTGCAATTTGCGAGCACTAACTCTCATAGTATTTAGCTCAGTTATGGAAGAAAGGGGAGTATCTTCCTGGGGTAAAATATTCTCATCTTTACTAACATCTTTATTCCATCTAGCTTGATTTCTTTGTTGAGCCAAAAGTTTTTTTTCTCGATGGTCTTGCTTTTGGCTTTTGATAACTTCTGTTAATACTATGCATTTTGTAATACAAGTTACACAGATATGAATGAAATCTAAATAAGTTAGTGAAAAATTTTTAAAGTATAAAACGTATTAAATTTTAGCGATTAGTTCTGAAAAGAACTGTTTTTTTTCTATTAGAAGAAATATAAAATGAGAAAATGTGGATGAATCTATTCGAAAATACAAATATAAACAAACTGAATGTTAACAGTCACAGTTTATCTCTGATGCTAACAAAGCTTTTAAATATGAAACTGGAAATAAATTTAAATGAAATAAAATGTACAACATTAATTAAAACGACTGAAAACCAGGAGTAAAAACTTAGTTTTGATTTCAAAACACGTCAAAATTATCGTCTTCTCAAATTTCGATTTCTATAAAAAGTGTAATATCTCGGCAATGGTTGGTCGGATTGACAAAATGTTTGTTTTATTTTATAGGTAACATTTCAGAGATGATTTATTTAAAAAAAATTAAAATGGAAAATTCGCAGGTTTTTTCTTAATTTTAGGGTCCACCGTCCCCTTATGTATTGTAACCACTTGTCATCTAATTCTGAAAATGTTATTTCCTTTTCTTTTAGAAATGCAGTTATCGGATCAAACAAATATACAAAACAATTTAATACGTTGCAGCTCGATAACCATCTAACAATGCAAAAGAAATTAATGTCATTTGGAAGTTCTTCGTCCTTTAATTCTTCAACGAAATTTTTGAATTGTCCATGATTTTTTTCATTGGTGCGAATGTAATTTACGATGTGTAACACTGTTTTCATAACGTCAGGATATTTTAAATATTTTGTAACGAGATGTTCTTGGTGAATTATGCAGTGAATCGGTATGAATTGCGGAATTTGAGAATCATCTCTTAAAATCCCAATAAGACCGATTTTTTTTACCCTACATTGCCGGAGCTTCATCAGTTGCAATGCTTACAAGTTTATTAAGAAGCACATCAAAAGTTTTCATCATGAAATCTGATGCATTTTTAATATCGACACCGCTGGTTGACTCTTGAAATGCTACTAAATCTAATATTTCTTCTTTAACAACGAAGTCAGGTGAAACAAAACGTATGAAAACTGCCAATTGCGGAAGATCTGTCGATTCCTCAAGGAACGATAATATTTTTTTTTAAAAATATAATAGCACAAAAATGAAAAGGGAACTCCGGTACATTTATCGAGAGCCACAAATAGTCCTTCTAAGAGCCGCAGGTTGGCCACCCCTGTTCTATTAGATCACCTTTTAATATTATTTCATCATTTACAAATTTTGACATATTCCATATTAAAAATTAAATTTTAAGATTATTCTAATGAAAGCAGTTTTATCATTTACAACAAAAAAATCCATTGATAATCCATAAAGTAACTGCCTTAATAAAAAACGTGCATTAGTTTATATATAGATTATTTATCTTAATCGTCTAAAATGACACAATCCAAATTGAAAGAATGTTTTGATGAAATGAAGTCGCCATAACTGGCACAACTTAAAATAACACAGTTTACAACGAACACACACTCTACCACAGACATTCGAGACACAACTGGCATGGGTAGGAAAACCATGAAAACTAACTAGGCTATTACCGACTGCAAGGGAATTCTAACTCATGATCTTTCTACCAATTAGAATATTTTATCTCAGGACTGTGTTTTTAGTGCTAGCGGGAGGCTGAATTCGTTCACCTTGTTCACCGCATTGGAAGACGAACGCTGTATAGAAAGAATTGTTCATTTCATTTAACAAATCTGACTGCCATCAAAATGATGTATCGAATGGAATAAAATGATATCATTAAATGAACGTGACTGCTATCAATTGTTGTATTGAAATTAGATTAATGACGTCTAATCTCATTGTAGTGTGTAGATATGTCGCATTAGCCTGTATGACGGAAATGTTCCGATTTCTGGCACAAGTTCTTTCTTTAAAAATATACCAAGTGGTAATTTAATTTTTTTCGACTAACATCGTAAAGACACTGGATACTGCTCATAAATTTAAATAATACTTTTTAATATTGATCTAGTATTAGGCTTTTTGGCTCTTGCGCCGAAAACTTACGATTACTAACTACATTATGCGAAGACAACGGGCAGTTCCATTCCACTGAAATAATTGTAACTCATTAGAGTTTAATATTGTGTGATACATGAAAGTCTAAACTAAATTTTTTTTTATTTTGCTCTCAGAAATTCGATGTCAATCATGTTATTTAAAAATTGCATTACATAATCAATCAATCAATCTCTTTTTCAGTTATACTCAACCTTGCATGTGGATTGTGCATCCTATTTGAAAAAGAACGAATTTTTCAAGCGACTATTTCTATGAAAGCTTTTGTGATTTTCTTCAAACCGGAAACTGTTGAGGTTTACCATTTATTATTTTTAATTCTAACTTAAAATAATTTACTAATATATATATGGGGTTCTAGAGTTAAAAGAAAAATAAAAGCGAAGTACGACGAAATTCATTGTGTGTACCATTAAAGCCCACATTCAATTCAATTCGATAAATTAGTATAAGATTTATTCAAGCGTAAACTTCTTCTATTTTAATAGTAATATACATATTATAATTGAGAGCTTTTATCTCTTAATAAGTCGTATCCCGGTTCAGGTGTTTTCAGTTGAGGCGGCTGCCGAAAATTATTTCATTTCAGACGGTGGGAGAAATTACTAAGTATTCCTATTTGAGGCGGTTATTTCATATCGCTTATCACCATTAGTTTATTAGTGACGTAGGCTATTACTGATAGTTGCCGTTCATTATTTATTATAATCGAATTAATTGGGACAGTAAAAAGTCAAAGATATTAGTTCCTTTGCCCGGTTTACATTTGTTCCATATTCTTTAAACTAATGTTTAAGGCATAGGATAATTTTATTTTATTTTATAACCGTCGTTGAACAGCCGACCCAATTTTATGGGTTTACGACTACTAATGTTCAGCTCCTTGAGTACGAAGAACGGCAAGTAATCAAAATACAATATCAGATGGAGGTATCTTATTAAGCATGCTTTTTTTAAGTATGAAGTATAGGTAAAGTGTTGTTTTATTTGAAATTGAATTATGAGTAAATAAATGGAGATTAGTAATTTAACGGTTGATTAAGAACAGAGGGTGAGTAAGTGGTTAGGGAAATAAAAAATACCTTTTATTTTGAGAAAGAATTTAGTGTAGCTAAAATTATGATAAATATGCAGGATGTGCAAATTGAATTAAATATGCTGACTGCAACACAACTTCTTTAAAAAAAAATTTATTGAAATTAATTTTCTTGCTTACTTTCAAATAGTTCCATTTTGTCTAGAACAATTTTGGCAATAACAAATCGATCTAATACTTTTTTCAGCATAATAAAATGTCAAAAAAATATTTTCTATGTTAAAATTAAAAAGAAAAACATTTCTTATTTTGATTTTTACTGTTTTATTGCTTAACGACGTTGCTTTTTTTCCCCACAGGTTGTATTAAGTAGTAATGTTACTATTGACAAAGCCAATGAATATGACTTTTTGCACCCATGGCTTGGAACTGGTCTTCTTACTAGGTACTGGTCTTCTTACTTGTTTAATAATATTTTATAAACATATTTCGTAGTTCTCATGCATTCGCGGAAGTGTTAGAATAACTGTTAATGAAATTGATAAGCAATCATATAGACATATCTAAATTCGGCAATATCAAGCAATTGATTGATTTCGGTTCAAGTAGCCATTGTAGTCGAACCTAGGTAACAAATCCTAAGGGGGAAATTAAAATATTGCTATAAAAAAATTTCCTTCAAATTTTATTTCATAACCGTTTTTAAGCAGTTTTCAGTTTACGACCACCAATTCCGTAGCCTTGTAATTCGGAACCCAATTCAGGAGACAAGGAAACTCCTGGATCGAGTACTGGGGGAAATTTGCCTTTGTGGAGGACTTTTTGAAGGAAATAATTTGCGTTACTCGTAGAGGAAAACTGCGAAAATCTTCCACTGTTAGCCTGACCAAGAGGGGACTCGAACCCGCCTTCGCTCTACCACTGATGATATTTTATGTCCGCACTGTGGTCCATGCAACCCGGGTGTAAAATTCGTATCGACCAGCCATCGTTGGAATTCGAACTCGAGCCACATCATTGGGAAGCGAGAGCTCTATCTCATGAGGCTCGACTCCTTCATATTGCGAACATTGAAGTTCAAATTTACCACCGTGTTCGTTTTTATAACTTTTAGTCTCGTTCTTTGTAATCAATCAGCTCAATAACTATTAGATTTTTTTTATTGCTATATTTTTAGAAATAAATGTTTGTTTTAATAAAAAAAACTATATTTTGTTTTATATGTTTTTGATTTTTGCATCTAACGAAATGTTTTTTTTTATTTTCAGCACCGGTAAAAAGTGGCGTTACCGAAGAAAACTATTAACACCGACTTTTCACTTTCGAATATTAGAAGATTTTGTGCCTGTATTTTCCGATCAATCGCATATTCTTGTTTCACGTCTTCGTAAACTTGAGAAAGATTCATGGATTGATGTTGTTCCTCTGATTACTTCTTGTACTTTAGATATTATTTGTGGTAAGCGTTATTATAAACAGGAATATTTTTTGAAGGGATTAAAATTTAACCTTTCATCTGAACCTTTCTTATTTAGAAACTCATAGCTAAAGTAGAAATGAAATCCTTTCGTTACCAGTATAAAAAAAATGGTTTAGAAATTATGTTCAATATCAAGCAATTGTAACACGTAGGGGAAAGTTGGACGAAACGGGATACCATTATTGTTTTTATTTACTACAGAAAATCTGTTAAAGAGAACTACACATTAATTTTTTTTTTATAGCTACATCACTTATTGAAGCTTAGAAAAAACATATTTTAAACTAATTTTAATGACTGTGAAGTAGGAAAAAAAAATCATTTTCCAAACTCTTACATATCCCGTTTTAGCATACCTGGGTCGGGCAAAACGGGATGGGGTTTACAATGTTTAATTTTTTGTGTAAAACTAACTAAAAACATAATTAATTGACCGAAAACTGTAAAGCAAAATTTCTAAAAATTGTATTTATGGGATTTTATTGCTTCTAACATTTTTATATAAACTGTTGTTTTATAATTAAGTACATAAAAATTCTGATGCTACATAATTTTTAAAGATTTTATGAGTTTTCAACCATGAACACTTATTCCATAATTTTCACTGTCGAATGCGTCTGGTGCCCTTAAGAGGGATTTCTTAGCTGTCCTTTCTTCAATTCTCTTGGTTCATTCTTGTAGTTTAATTATCCTTTTTTTTTTTTCATTTATAATTCACTCTTAAATGGAGATGATGTTATTACTACAGTTTTCTTCTATCTCTTATCAGTCATTTTTTCTGGGAGCGGTCCTTTTACTTGAGGTACATGTACAACACACTTTGGAAAGATGGAAAAGTGTAGCTTAGGTCGATAACAAGAGAGTAATAATCCCAAAACTGCACACATCAGCGCCTGATGTTCAATGCCTGGAAGTTCTTGCTGTTAAATCAGTGGGGACAGACAATGCAAACAGCTGATCTGGGAAGACGTCAGGATTGTAAGGACTTATACCAGTTTTACTAAACCCTTTAATGGTAGTTTCTGCAACGGCTGCCCGTGAGTGTAGGCTGCGTTGCACAGTTTTGTAACCTCGTAAATTATAACGCACCTACCTGGATGGTTGAACAGCCACTTTTGAACTTCTTGTTCATAATACGCGCTCAGTTAAGCCATGAAACTGATATCCAGGGACTGAAGGCGATGAGTTGTATGAGGGGGGAAGGTCATTTTTTTCCCTGTGTTAAAATTATGCTTAATATTGCTTCTCTCAGTTAACTCAAATGCTAGCATTCGTATACCCGTTAGAATTATACCAAATAATCTCTCTTCTAGAGCCAATACATGCGCACGCTTTTTTTCTTGTTCAGCATTGAATACTGTCTCTTATCTGTCTAACTTTTTCACTGCTGCCAATCCAGTGGTCAATGTATTTGTACGATCCTTTTTTACCTTTCTTTCAATATAGTAATAATAATATAGTAAAAGTATTAGGCCAACAAATAAGTAGGTGGATAAAATAGGATATATAAAAACTCTATCCCGTTTAATCCAACTCATAAGTATCCCGTTTTGTCAGACTCAGACACTTTTCAAAGTAAACATGGCTGCTGCCTAAACGTGAAAGAAAGATTAGATTGACTGGACATGAGAATATTCGTTAATAAATGCTTCATCAAATGTAATACTCACCGGAATTGTAATCCTATATATATAGGCAGTACAATGTGAAAAACAACGCACGTAATAACTGTGGAAAGTGGCAAAAAATGGAGTAAAAAAGTTCTGAGACCTACAACTTTCTATCAACTAGTGATCTCGAGACGGTACGCACTGAAAGTGATATAATCACAGTCAAATAACAAGTTTCTGTCGTCGTCCGCTAGATAGCTGCAATAGTCTGGTCCCTAGGCGAGATATCCCGTTTTGTCCGACTATCCCGTTTTATCCAACTCTCCCCTATTTTTGATATCTAAATTCAAGTTAAATGAAAATATTACTTGTTAATTTTAATTAATTTAAATATGTCTTGTGTGAAGAGTACCACAAGTTAACAAGATATTTCAAGGTGTACACTTGAAGGTGAAATTTTGGTACACAATTTAGTTCTACTTTCACAATTATAAATTTTTTTTTCAGAAACAGCCATGGGAGTAAGAATAAATGTACAATCGGGCGGATGTAAAGAGTACGTTCAAGCTATTCACGAGTAAGTGATGTTTAAGTTAAGCATCGACTACTTAGTTTTTTTTTTTATTTCTAAAGCCGGACTTCCTAACAAATTTTTTTAAAATACTTATTTCCTTTGTCTAAATTTTTGTTTAATACCATTTACTTTGTTTAAACTTTATTCCTCTTGTCTATTAGTAATTGTGTAAATATATTTTCTTTAAAAAAAAGTTCATTTTAAATTTCTTGAAATGCAATATATGTTAGGCACAGATTTCCATTTCTCTTAAAGCTAATTGGGAAATTACAGTCCCCTATGAAAACAATTAGCACACAGCAAAAGTAAATGCAAAATTTTTTATTTTGATGGTAATGTTTTAATAATTTCATATGTATATATAATATGCATGTATACATGTCCCTGGCCAAATTATGAGACGCTCTATAAGATTCTATGTAAAATCTTAATAATCACGTGATACTATACAGCTTTACTGTTTTTACTAGAGGCAATGTATATTTTTATTATCCACCTTATTATCTATTTTTAACCCAAATAAAACATGCCATGCTATCCTTAAACAATAAGAATGCTCGGACAAAATGCGAAAGGGTTTTATGCTGTGACATTTTTATGTTACATAGGAATATTAAGGCATCTAAAAAATAAGTTAATTTTTGTTAGTCTGCTCCAATCATAAATCTATAAAACGCTTAATATGTATAAGACAAACTTTTTGACATTGGGCAAAACCGATGAAATTTCTTCTCTCGCTCTTGCAATTAAAAGGAAAACTAAAAGGCTGGAGACCCTTGTTTTAGGATTTTGTTTTATAAATACATTTGTATGTTAAAATATATCCATCCCCGTCTAAATATATCCATGCTGGAATTGATTATTTTTATATATTTCTGTATTGTAAAAGCAATGCCTTTTTTCCTCATCTATAACTGTTAGTCTATATTATAATGGAATTGATCTTACATTAAAATGTTTCTCTTACATACAAGTGACTTGTTAAAAGATTAACTACCTGTTCTCTTTTAAAATTCATTAATGTTTACAGAAATATTTTTTAAAAATTTTTTTATTTATTAGTTTTGTTTTCCTTCTAGAATCGGGAATATATTTTTATTCCGAATCCTGAGACCTTGGCTTTACCCAAATTTCATTTTTAAAATTACACCATCTGGTAGGAAATTTTTCAAAAATGTAGATGTTATTCATCGCTTTACTAGAAAAGTAAGTGAATCATTTACCTCTCTCTCAGTTTTTTTTTTGTTCATTCCTAATTTTACTCTCTTTTGTTACAGATTTTTTTCCTCTTGATTAAATATTGTATTTAAATGTATATGCGATTTAATGTGGATTGTGTTTCACACAATTCAACTTACGTGTGTTACATACAACACATCATATATTGGTTCCGATTATAATTTTCCTCGTTTAATCGAAGCAGACCAAAGATGAGTCAATAGAACTAGCATTTCAAAAATTTTAATTTTCTTTAAAATAAAAAGTACGATTTTTAAATTGCCCTTTGTATGAATAAAATACTTATAGTTTCAAAATTATTTATGGACCAATGTTTTATCTCATTCATTTAACACTAGGTTTACGGGACGCATCATTTTGACGCATTTCGAGTTTCGTAAGGAAAATTATAAAACCCGTTTGAATTTTTATTTTATCTCTTGTAATGACTTTTAACCATTGATCGAAGTAAATATATATTGAAGTCTATTTTCTTCAAAAGCGTTGAAATATTGAAATTCTCTATGTGGTAGTATACCTATCTCTACGGATATGCGTCAATTTGACGCGATCATAATTTAGAATCACATCAATAATAAGTAGGAATGTACCGACACTACTTCGATTCGTTTTCCGATATCGTTATCTCAAATAAATCAAGCGATAAACAATAAAAGAAAGAACAAATGCAGAATGTCAAATTTTGGCGGTTTCAGTTGCTTAGTTCGAGTATTGAAACATAAAATACCAGAATATTTCATAAATATATATCTCATATCTTCATTTTTTTTCTTATAGTATACAATTACATTGGTTTCTAAGTGCAGAGAGGCCAACTGTTCGGTATAAGCGAAAATAAGTACATTTTGTAAAAACTAAGTACATTTTGTAAATTGACTTGATAGGAATTTGAGCGAAGTACCTGCCCGCGGAGCGGGCATCTCACTTCTTCATCTGGTCATTATGATAGTAATTGTGACTATTGGCATGGGTTGTGAAGTAGTTAGAGTGGTGGCAATGTAGCCTCTGTAAGAAACTTACAGTCATATCTGAAAATTGAATTTTAAGGGCTGAGCATGTGTTTTGAGCTGGGAAGGTCCCATTAGTCTAAAAATTATGTACAGCATTTTGATATATATATTTAGCATTAATAGGATATGATTATTTACATTAAAAAATTATGTACAACATAATGAATATATATGGCATTAATAGGAAATAAAAGATAACTTATTTACATTATATACAGAATCGAATAAGTGTTACTCTGTTAAAACGACGACCCATTTTGTAAATATAAAGTGGTGAATTACATAAGCCTACGAATTATTTAGAAATAGTGGTGGACAAAAATCTATTAAATTGAATTTATTACATTAATCATAATTATATGTATTCTTTCATCTGTCAAATTGACGCTTGTTCGTAGAGATAGGTATATAAGAAACGTCCGTAAACCTAGTGCTTACAGCTTCTAAAGTATTCGTCCCATTATCTCGCCTCATTCAATTCAGTTTGAAAAATTACATAGAAACCAATGCATTACCTGTTAAATGTAAATGTTACGATCCCAAACCACTTTTTGTATATAGACTCCTGATAACTACACGACCTATTGTCGCTGGGTCTCTTTTATGTTGGGTCTTAACCCAAGTAATATAAGTTTCAGCTGTCCTCCCCCCATTCATCAATATCCAGCGCACGATGTCCTGCAACTTTTTACCCTTTATTAATAAGCAGATACTTAACAGTTTACTTCGTGTAAGAAAATATATATATATATGTTCATTTAAAACTCGGTAAAGGGAATAATATTTTAAAAAAAGTTTAATTATTGAATAAGTTACAGAGAAGCATTTGTTTGTTCAGTAAAAAAACTGGAAAATTTCCTAGTTCAATTTTAATGTAATAACTAGAACTAGTTTACACTGGTCAATATGACACACTTATATCATACTATTTTCGTCATAGGTTATAAAAGAAAAGAAGTCTGAAATGTTAGAAAATAATCAATTAACGAAAGAGTGGGACGTAATTCTCAATGACAGTCCTTCAAATACAAAACGTCGCAGAGCTTTTCTGGAATTACTCTTAGAGCATCACATTAACGATCCATCCTTTACGGAAGAAGACATTAGAGAAGAAGTAGATACTTTTATGTTTGAAGTAAGTTTAGGTATATAGTATTGTAGATTATTACGAATATTTATTCTAGTATTTGAATATTTATTCTAAGCTATATTAGGAATTTATGGATGCAATTGATAATCAATGTCGTGAAACTTTTGTTCATATATGGTCATAAAATTATTAGGTTTAAACTGTTTTATTCTTTCTCGAACAATCTGATGTAGATTTAACGTATAAATTCACCAATGTTACTTTTGAAATGTCATTAACTAAACAACGAAGTTCACTTTTGAACCACTTTAGTAAAGATATTTGTTTCACTTTAAAAATAAATTTCAAGTTCAGTGCATAACTTCAAGCTGTTGCACCTATATCTGATAACCTATTAACCGTGGTGACAATCGTCGTAACTCTAGAAATTTCATTTTACAGTACAGGAAGAATAAGTAAACTTACCTAGATTCGATAATCTAATAATTAAGAACATTCAATGCAATATCAACCAAAGAGAATAGAAAACATAAGTAATTAAACCATACTTCTATCTGGTTTTCAGCATAGGTGTTTACCATTTAGTGTTTTGATTGTAAAATACACATTGTCTTGAAATAATTTACACAAAAATATATATGGCTCAGTGATTCATGGTAGTCAACGATATTTTACTTCTCCAAAAAACAAACTGAGAAACTTTTTTAAAACCAGCTTTTTCTCTTTTCCGTGAGAGTTACAGCCCTGATATCCCTTTAGTTGTTGACAAGTGGATAAATCACTTTTAACAACTACTAAGAAACAATTTAATTGATAAAAACTACATTGAGATATGACGTTATTCTCACTAATTTACGATTTTCTCTAACGATGGACACTTTCAGAATGCATTTTCAAAAGCTCATCTTTTTACCTATAACTATTATTACAATCTCTACCAGACTAGATAAAATATTATAGTATAGTGTTATATAGATGACCATATAATAAGATTAATTTTGTTCTTGAAAATCCTTATTAATTTTTGGCCAATTTTGTATTGGATCGTTTGAAAAGACATTCATTAATTTAAAACGAATAAAAAGTGTCAAATATTAAAATAATTAATAATAATATTCATTGGTGTGTAACAAAAAAGCTAGGATTATTAGCTTTTAATGATGAAATAAAATATATTACATGGCATCGTGTACAATTTTATTATTTTGTGTAACATTTGTTTTAAAACATTAAAAAAGGGAATCAGAAAGTTTGTATTAAAATTTATTTTTAGGGACATGATACAACAGCTATGGCAATTTCTTGGGCATTATATTTCGTTGGACTAGATAAACTCGTGCAGAAAAAAATTCAGGAAGAATTGGATGAAATATTTCAAGGTGATAATGAAAGAGAAATTGAACGTGATGATTTAGTGCGTATGAAGTACTTGGAGTGCGTCATTAAGGTATAATTAAATTTCAAGACTTTAATATCGAAATATTAAAATTTTTAGAAAATAAAATTAACTTTTTCTTATTTTGATCTAGGAGACTCTTAGATTACATCCTTCAGTGCCTTTCATAGGTAGAGAAGTTAGAGAAAACTTTAAAGTGTGTAAGTGAGCAAATTATTTTTCTAATAATAATATCTATCTTCTAAGCTAGAAATAGAATTTATGTGTGCCCGAGTAAGGTCTAGTTTGTCTTGAATTAGAGCATTTATCAAAAGTAGGCTTTTTTTTCACTGAAACACAATTATGTAGTCCTGCAAATCGGAATCTATTACGGACAGTTTGTGTGGTGACCTATAAATTCAGATGATAAATAAATATTAGTTATTTTTAACTCTAAAATATTATCAATAATTTTTATAAATATTTAATTTTACATTTAAACCTTTATTAATTTTCATTTATTTCAATCCAAATAATTTTGGACAATATGGCGTGTACAAACACCTGTTTTTTTTTTTTTTTTTTTTTTTTTTTTTTTTTTTTTTTTTTTTTTTTTTTTTTTTTTNTTTTTTTTTTTAAGTTTACAAATTTGAATTGCAATTTATATTTTGTAAAATAGATTAATGCATAAAAGAAATCGAGCCAGTCGTTGACCGTTACGCTTTAATTCTTTACTCAATTGTCAAAACTGTTGATGAGGTCAACACTCAACAGCAAAAATTTTTGATGAAGAAACAGGCAAATTTCCTAGCCTAGACATTCTGTGTAATGCAAAATTACAACCAGGTAAGTATAAAATATGATTTCTTCATATTTATAATTAGTATTGGTTGAAACTTGGTATAATCAGCGAGTACATATTTCATTTTGTTACCTCGATTAAATAAAGACAAAAAATTTGCTTTGTCTTACTCTGAATTTTTTTAACGTGCTTTGAAAAAAATGGCAGTCTTTTATGATATTTTTAAAATAAACTTTAGTATTTTTCTGGACCATATTTTTAATTTATACGGTCATTTATTAAACTGCAAACTTAGTGTAAACCAAGATAAAATTCTCGAGATTTATTTCGAACACCAAACCATGAAGTTCAAGATATTTTGTCATTTCTAAAAAAATCCCATGTATTGTCTGTATCCATGTATGTCTGGTATCAAACCATTAGCTACATTAAAAAAGGGTATGGGAAGCAATATACTTGGTCCTTTCACTCCCTGTATACTTTTCCTTTTATGCATTACTTCATACATTAATTTAATGGTTTCTTATTCTGTTCGGTCTTCAAAAAGTTAGTATATTTTATGCTATTTGCAATGAATCCTTGGTGTTTGCACCAAGTGCTACCTTAATACCCATTAAGTTATGTTGAATTTTGTATGCATGGTCGTGCTACCAAATCAGCATGCTGCAAATACCTTCAACGCATGTTTAGAATTACGCCCTTGAGAAATTCCTTTCTCAGCAAGTTTGATGTCTTCTTCCTCAAAATGCTTCATATAAAGATCCATTTTCCATCCTTTTTTTTCCAAACCATAATCCCTCTCAAAGTACATTTTGAAAACTTACCCTAGGTGGAATTGCTATAATTATTACCAAAATCGATCATAAGGATCCTTTAGCGCTGTTAAATACAGCTAGACTCGTCTGAAAAATTATAAGTAAAAAACAAAGATTCAGTCTTATTTTATAATTTTCTATTCAATTTTTCAATCATTTATGTCAGAAATCTGATTATGCAGGATCATGTTCTTGTTAAAATCTTGAATATATGGTATGCTAATTATGCCAGCTTTTATCCTATTCTTTATTTGAGCTTCAAGTGAGATACTCATAAAACAGGATGACTTTTGTACATTACCGGTCTGAACCTTATCTCCACGGGTATTACCAAATTTGTAAATTTATTGTCAATATTTAAAATTAATATGTATGACATTTCTCTCGGATAATTAAATATTTACTATTTCTTCATTATTGCAATTAAATATTTCTAACCAGCGTACATATTTGGGTTGATTAATTTTAGTCAATGATAATATTGGCCGTTTCAATTAGACTAAAAATTGCAGTATTTGATACTTGGAATCGTAGAGAAAAACCAATTAACCAGTTAAGATATCTTTTTTACACGTGTACATTTTCAGCTGATGTTTTTTATAGAGATCTCCTTGCTGAATACCATCATTAGTGACAAAAATGTCCTCTTCATCTGAATCATGGAAATATCTTCTTCGCGCCAATTCTGAAAATAGACAAAATATTTTAACCCATATTTATTTACATACAATCTAATTTTAGAAAGATTTATTTATTGAACCTACAATTAAATTTGTCTTTCAGCTATAAACAATTGGGAAAATGAAATAAATAATAAATTGCATGATATTAAACCTTCAATAGAGTCTTATAAATGTCTAAACATTAGTCGAAAGCACGAATTATATTAAATCGATTGCGCATTGGTCTCACTCGAATAATCCATAAACATATTTTATTAAACGAAACGAACCCGCACCCAAATGTTCTCATTGTAGGGAACCGCTTACTATTAAACATATTTTAACCAAGTGTAACAAATTTAAAACACAGAGACAACGCCCTTTGGATAGCTTTAATCCAATATTGTCTTAAGGGACATTGGTTTTTACAAATCAATTGAGCTTTAACTTATAGCAGAATGTTTCTTTTAAAACAAGTTGTAGGTGCGGTATGACCAAAACTGGCTTTTGCACCAATAGTTCTTAATAAACTTAAACATTGGGGAGAACCGCTCACTATTTGACATATTTTAATCCAGTAAGACAAATTTAAAAACCAGTGACAACTCCATTTTGGTAGCCTTAATTCACTACTGACTTTATTAATTGGGAATAAACCCTACAACAACATTTTTAATTATATCAGGGGCATTGGTTTTTTCATATCAATTAAGTTTTAACTTATAGCAGAATGTTTTTTATAAAATAAGTTGTAGGTGCAATATGACCAAAAATTCTTAATAAATTTAACTAAACTGAACCAAGTGGTGTAGTGAATCGCCATACAAATATATAACATAACTCTTTGTTCTTGATGTTCCAACTGCTCCAAGAATGATCTTTTACATTACTTAGTACACTTTCGACTTCATTTTTGGTAGTCAGTAACACAATTAATTGGAATTACAAAAATTTTATTAAATAAAAAAAATTGATTAAAAAAATTTGATTAAATAAAATTTGATTTCTTAGGAATTATTTACCTCACCAAAACTTAATACTCTACATATCTACCTGAAACAATTCGGGTTTTACAATTTCATTTAGTTCTAACTATAACCGAGTTGACAAATTTTTAAACTAGTTATTTTAATTTTGGACTAGTTGCTGATTTTAAGCTAGTTGATCTGATTGTAACCAAGTTACAGTAATTTAATCCTAGTTTTGGGCTCGGTATAGCCAAACCATGGCCTTTGCACCAAAAATTTACTTCAATCAATCATACATAATCTTTTGTATGTAACTTTATATAAATGCATCAACGTAACTTAACATCTTTATCTATTACAGCAACAGAAATTCCACATTTACTAAAATAAGTTTATATAATGATGTTATATTTAAATATTGTATATTGATATGTGATTGCTTTCTTTCTTAATTTATAGTGGACTACGAAATCGAAAAGGGGAGTGTTTGCTTTATATTTCCATTTATGCTTCACAGAGATCCCGAATCATTTCCTGATCCAGAAAAGTTCGACCCTAAAAGATTTTTTCCCGAAAACATAACTGGGAGACATCCATATGCCTTTGTGCCTTTCTCAGCCGGTCCAAGGAATTGTATTGGTAAAGTCATGAATATACGCATACAAACAATTACAATGAAAGAAAAAAAATTTGTCCGTCTATCTTATAATTCCAGAACCGTTTGTGCTGAAATCACAAAATGTGAATAGCAAGTGCTAGAGACAGGCGGTCATATTAAGTTTATGCATGGGTGTCATCATGCTGGTCGGAATTAATTTTCGAGTAATACATAATATGCAAGATTATGAAGGAAAAGTAAAATTTATTAATTCTTTTTTAAACTTTAGATATATGTAACACAACAATATATTTTAATTTCATTTAAAAGTTATATTTTATTGTTCTCCATCGTGTGGTATGTATCAAAGCAGTTACCAATATGAAGCCCTGGTTTTCGAGAACACGTGTCGCAAAAATAATTAGTTAAGCGTCTTCCGCCTTTAATTTTTCTGTTTGAACATACAAAACAATCTTTACATCATCACAGTGCCGCAATATTTGTAGTTTGTTAAGCTGTGGCGGATGAGAGCAGACATATGACTGTAAATTAAAAAAAAGCGCTGGTGGTTGAGAGTAGGGTAAAGATGTATTTGACGATAGCGAAATTTGCGATTTTTATTTGGCACAATTCCTGTTCGCGCGGAACAGCGTGCAAACAGGAATGGCTGCCAAAACATAATGAAATTTCAATATAACATTGAAAAATTGCAATCAACACAATATAAGCAAAATTAATAAACCCAATAAAATGCATTGCGAATCGAAATAAAAATTAATAGAGTAAGCACAGTAAAAAAAAAAGGGAACAAAAATCGACTTACTTTAATTAGCTTGAATATCCCCACATTTAGGTACACAGAATTCTCTAAATTTATCAAGTCCCTTTTTATGACTGATGTTATTGGTATGGGCCCCGGTTTCCGGATCCTTAAAATCCTCAGAGTGGTTTACTAATAAGTGTACGAAGCCGCTCTTCGAAAGACAGTCTTACGACTTCCAGCAATCGGACGTAATCGTTGTAACGGGTATTTAGTTGAATTATACTCAACAAAGTTTCTTTCGTACGATCTGGAACAACTTAAAAAGCACCTTCTACTCTCTCTTTCAACATCACCGAACGCCCACTTTCCTTCCACCCGTTTACACCTGTTGTACTTCCGTTTTCCAAATTTACTTTCGTCTATTTCTGTAATCATGCCAGGTCCCCCAATCATTTCATGCTTTCGCGTACATATATCCACACAGACATCATCATCCTCGACAGTCCTGGGTGGACCCTGGCTTTCTCAAGAAGACTGCACCAGTCCTTTCTTCTGCGTGCCACGGCTTTCCAGTCTATGACCTTGATTGTGGTAAAGTCCCTTTGGAGGCAATCCGCCCATCTCAGTCGGGGTCTGCCTCTCTTTCTAACTCCAGTTGGCCTTGCCAAAAAGGTTATTTTAGTTGTTCTGTCATCGTTCATTCTTACAATGTGTCCGACCCATTTCATGCGCTGGATCTTATGGTACTTCAGAATGTCCGGTTCTCTGAATATCCTGTAAAGTTCAGATCCACACAGACATCCTCACGAAAATTCTTCCAATCCGTTATAATTTTATCATTGTTAATATTGAGTTCCGTTTTAATCATTTCGCTATTAGCTTCATACACCCACATTCATGCAAAAATTAAAATATTTGTTGTTGTTGTTGCCTATCCTCATAGATCTGACATCAGTCAGATCAACTCCAAAAAGTTGTTGACAGCCAGAAAGTCGATGACAAATAAAATATATATTGTACTCAAATGACTCTCCTCAAACCACGACCCCTTTCTAATGGATCGTTTTATGTGGTGAACCTTTCACACTACAAAGGCGTCTGATCGATCTTAACGTTCGACCAGAGACATATCTTTCGCGCAAACGGAATTTATACCGATTACTAATTAAACCTTCATCCATACACCAGTCAAACACTGCTTTTTTTCCATTGTTGTTCAAATCGTACAGAAACTTAAGATTTATCTTACTTCCCGAAGTCATTTTCAGGACCAGAAGCAAAATGAACCTTCCAGTCGACATCCAACATAGAAACTAACTGACCTCTGAAATTACATATACCGTTGAACATTCAAAAATAAGGCTAAAATCTAAACCAAACAGAATCACGATGGGGTTTCAAAACAGAAAAAAAAACAATAGACGTTCCCATAAATAAAACAACATCGCCCAGCTTGGCGAGAATAAAGGGGCACACTCAAATATAGTCTAACCGAGATTAGACATACAAACCGTAAAGGGTTAGACCTCGATCCTAAAAATCTTTTGCAAATTTAAATTTGTCTGAACGATAAATTTTTATCGTAAGTCAATATTATAAACTGCCTGTGATTTTGATATTTCAATTATTTAAAAATTAACTTCAGTGATGTGTGCAAGCTTATAGCTCTATTTAATCAAGATCTATTTTCACGGAGAGTTTTGCCCGTTTTTTAGTAGTTCTTAGATTTATCTCATGTCAGATAAGCATAACCAAAATAGACATGGAGTGACATCACCATTTTAGTAATTAGAAACCAATACTTAATCCAGGAGTTCCCTTGCCTTCTGGCTTGGGTTCAAAGTTACAAGGCTACGGAGTTGAACATTGGTAGTCGCAAACCCAAAATTAGATCAGCAGTTCAACGGCGATTATAAAATAAAATTAGTACAAATTATCAAATTTAATTAAGCAATACTACTTGTTGAGTGTGGCAAGAAATATATCCTATTTCTTCCACTCCCTTCTATATTTTATTTAACCAAATTCTTAAGAGAAATACAAAAAATTTCTACATATTTCTAAACCTAAACTAGAGTTCTATTGTACAAGTTAAAAGTTATTGAAGACATAAGAAAACGCTTTTACCTAATTCTAATACAAAAATTATCTCATTCTTATTTCAAAACGTAACTCTAGTGCTAAAAATAGTACAGCAATTTTTTTTTCTAGACGAATTCTTCAATACTACTTTTTACACTCTGATTACAATTTCTTCATTAATTTTACGTCCCGCAGTGGACTGATCGTTAAGACACGGTTCCCAGCAGATCACCGAAGTCAAGCATCACTGGCTACGGTCAGTGTGCGGGTGGGTGACCACTTGGATCAGTCTGCGTAGGGACCGAGGGTGTGCGGTATTGGTCCTCGTTAAACTGTGCTACCGTAAAGTGCTCGACTTCGCGCGCAGGTCATCGGGCTACCGAAGCGGGGGTGCCCCCTCCGCAGAGGATCAAAATTGTGATGGCATGTCTTCGGATCATCCTCCGGGATGTTTCCAAGACCGTCGCCAATAGCCCATTGTGAAGCTCCAGTGCGACGTAAATTAACAACAACAACAAAATCATTAATTTTACTTTTTTTTTTGTTTCAAGCGGGATCTATTACCAAAATTAATAGCGAGTTTTTATTCTTCGCTTCAACGAATATAGGAATATTCCCCATCAATTTTATTTTTAAGGACAAAACCTAGTTCCTTGTTTTAATCCGCACTTATTAGCAGAATTAATTAAACATCATCGCCGTGTATAATAGTAGTATTACGATATTTTGCGGTTTGTGAAGGAATAAAAAAGTTTTCTCCATTTATTTTGCTGTTTAATACATTTTTTTATTTCAATTCAATATTTATTACCAAAATAATTAAGCATCTTTGGCGTCATTAATGGTTTAATGAATTGTTAAATTTCTCCTGAATGATTTTATACCATTTATTTAATTTTCTTTTTTTTTAAATTCATCTACCGTTTATTTTTACTTTTGTAGCAACACTGAGCGATGAAATGTGCGATGTTGTGACTCTTGATTTTATTATTGGCGAGTGTTGGGCGCAAGAGATCTGGGATTTCTTTGTACTGTTTTTATTGTTGATATAACAGCACCAATAGAGGACAATGAAGCGATGCCGTCGATTAATTTACGATTTCTACTGTCAACCAAATGGTGAAAGTGAGACTAAAAGTCGATACCTATTATTGGTTTAATTACGTCAGCTATCACGAAAAGCCAATTGAATGATCTTCTTAGTCCTAAATCCAGATTTAGTAATTTTTGTCCATAAGTCTTAATTTTGGTTCTTTTTGCAGCGAAAAGTTCCAGCTTCGCAACAGACCACTTTTCTTTTGGTAGTGGTGGAATCCCAGAAATTTCAGCACCTGTATCGATTAAAAATTGAGTTGCACTCTCCTTGTCGCGATTAAAAAGACAACACAAATTTATCCCGGGGATCTAGTTTTCCCGTAAGGGGTTGGTTTTGTTTGGCCAATCGCAAGGTTTATTGCACTTAAAATCTCTTTCACCTAATAACATTTCTGCTCGCGGTAATCGACCATGCCAACCTTCATCTAACAATAGGTATTTCATAATTGTATGAAGTTAGCATGTCTTATATACCAGTGAATTGATGTTTAATTTTCGTAGTGGTAGTTACGCCACAATAGTCCCCTATTAGAATTTTATCAGGGATAGAATTCGATGAACGGATCTCACTAGTTGCTATACTTGTACAAGACCGGGAGAGCTGTTTGTTGAGTGCTGAATGTGAGAGGTGTATTAACATCACGTCGTAGCTTTCGTTGTTGCTTCAGTGTTGCATTTTGCAGTCACAAGTAGCAAGTCAACTATTCAATGTGGACTATCCATCGAAGTGGGCGTTACTGTGTGATCATATCACTACCTGGTCACCATTGAAGGTGTTAATTTATGCTGAATAATTTTCCCTTCAATATTTTTCAATCATTAACAAGAATACAAATAGTAAAATAAATGACGACAGGAATAAGAGAATAACACTAGCAATTTTACTTTATACACTTTTTGGAACAGCAACAAAAACATGATGACATTCACGACAAAACAAATATATATACAAGGGATTAGAAATTAAATTAACGAGGGAACATAGAGGACGCTACATGTGTTTTGTGATGATATTTGTAGTTTGTGACCCCGAAAATTTTTTTGAGTGTCGTGTAATGTTTCTGTACAAAATATTTAGTAAACAAATAACAAATGCGTATACAAATAATCTCTTTCGCGAGCTCTAAATGTATTAACTACTTCAATACTTTCTGAATGCCAATTTATTTTATTTAAAAGCATATTATATCTGTTATTAAATTTCCTCAATGTTTTCAGGTCAAAAATTTGCTTTAATGGAAGAAAAGACTGTGCTCGCAAACATATTTCGATCTTTTGAAGTATCATCCAAAGACCCCAGAGACAAAGTCAGTGTTACTCCTAGTCTCGTCGCTCGGAACCTTGAACCACTCATGCTACAATTCACACCCAGAAATACAAGATGAATTTCAATTAGGACAACTATTGCTGGATAGTACTTTAAAATGGCAACAAAATGTCACTTATCAGGTGAGAAACGGATTTAAGACGGTACTGATGTATTTGCGAGATCGATTGTAAAGATGAAATTCATTTTGCGAATATTTAACCTTCTCATTAAAAAATAAAAAAATCTATGTATAAGAGTTTCGTGCAATTCTGTTAACGGTTCATCTATTGCCAATATAAGTAATTATATATTTTACTCTTTATGCATTACCTGACAAACTCAGACCTGTACTAATTCGTAAAATGAATGAAATTTTCTTGCTTGTATGCATTGATTCATGTTTTTTTTACTTTGTAAAAGGAATAAGTAAATAAAAAACAAACAACACATGATAAATTAGGAAACAATGCTTGCATGTACTTAAAAGACAAGTGAAAATAAAAAAAGACTAGTTGAATAAACTATGATTAAAATTTAATGCATTGTTTAATTGTGTACTAGCAATAGTTTTTCTTTTCTGATGTAGTTGTTGGCGATTTTTTCATGCAGAAATATATTGAACCCACCTAACTTCGCGATCTCTTCGGAGGTATTGCTCGTAAAAATTGATTGGCGATGACTCATTTGTAGACCAGTGCTCTCAAAATGACACAGTTCAATCTATACGTTAAAATTTTTATTTTAAATGCATCTTTAAATTTGTTATTTTTTAAACTATTATATTTCACATTTTAAGTTTTTTTTTTTTAGCTTTTCGAAAAATAGCCAGAACATGTTATTTTTAAAATCATAATTATTTTTTATTAAAAAGTTACTATCATATTTTGGGTTGCTACATTGTAAAATGTATCATCTTTAAATAAACGCTGGTGCAACAACCCTCTGTAAGTTAGTTATCATTTCATATGATTGTCTTAAGTACGTAACGTTGACGTTTAAGTCATGTATAGCATTACATTGCAGTGATGCTATTGCATAATATTATTTTCATATTACATGTGATATCAAAGTTTCTTCATTCATACTTGATTCTCATTTTAAAATCTTTCATTTAAATTGATTTTAACTACCACTACACGTTAATTAGTCTAAAGTTATGACTATTGTACTCTGAAGGTTACTCAAGCATAAATTGCTTGCTTGCTTGCTTATAAAGCCACTTCAATTAGCATTTCACGACCACTAGAAAAATAATTTTTTAATAACTGCAGAAGTAGGCAGGTACACTATTTTACCTACGTTTAAAGAATCAATGCCCTATGCTCCCACCCTGTATGAATGTAACAATTTCTGTATTAACTGAATATGCAAGTTATGATAATATTCAGTATTTGTGCTTAGTCATATTTATTTATATTTTGTTTACATCATGTATTTCGAGCTTCATTATTGTTCTGGGTTTGAATTGTATTTTTTTGTTTTGAATGCCATGTGATTAATGATTTATGCACTTCTATTCTTTTAAGCACTGTTCATATGACAAATCAAATATTTGCTGTGATGTTTGAATAAGATTTGTTTATAGTAAGAGGGCATTTAATAAATTTATGTGTGACTGTTTTTTTTATTCATTTCATTTCAATAAAACATGCGAAAAACATAACATTTACAAATTTTAACCTTTTTTCAAGATACTATCATTTACACAACTTCCACCTTGGTTAGATGTTCCTTTACATGTTGTCGATGTTTTTAAACAACACTCAAAACAGAATACTTACCCATCATATATCAAAAAATATTTCTTGCACGTCGAGACAAATATAAGGATTTTGAAGCTATTTTCACTGATGGGTCAAAATGTATTCATCATGTGGCATCAGCTGTAGTCTGTAACGGTAGCAAACAAGTTTGAGAAACTACATCATTTGAGTTCCGTTTCTACCGCTGAATGCTATGCATTAATTTTAGCTTCAGATTTTATTTCCGAACAAAACTATAAACAGTGGATAATTTATTCGGACTCATGCATTGCAAAATCCTATTACCAACCCTCATTCGATCATTAATAACATTTTACAGTTATGTATAAAGCTGCATACAAAATATTTTAAAATTCTCTTCTCTTAGATTCCTGGTCATATTGAAATCTCCGGCAACGAAAAAGCGGATACCATAGCAAAACTAACTCATATGCATTATCTAACTCATTTTGCAAAATAAATGAGTTAGGGAAATGAACAATAAATTACATGAAATAAAGCCATCCGTAGTACTTTACAAATTTCTAAACTAAAACAGAAAGCTGGAAGTCCTCATTGATAGATTACGCATTGGTCACACTAGCCTAACACATAAACATCTTTTAAACGGATCAGCACCAGTTTGTTCCACATGCCAGGAAGCTTTAGCAGTTAAACATAAATATAGTATGTCAGTGTCCGAAATTTAAACTCATAAGCTGTCGATACTTTAATTCTGATATTCCCAATTTATCAACTTTAGTTGGAGAGATTTCTCATCAAAATCTTATACTTTACCTCAAGGACACGGTATATTTTCCTCTTATTAAAGTTTTACATTCGGACTAAAAACAATCTTACCATTGTAACAGATTTTAATTCGGTTTAGCTAATTTTAACCTTATTATCCTGTTTTTAATCTAGTTATTTTGCTTTTTACCTGGTTTTAGGCGTGGTATAGCCAAAAACATGGCTCTTGCATCGAAAATTCATATCAATCAATCCACTTATTTTAAAATAAAATAATGGTCCATCACAGCCTAATTTCTTAATTAAAATCACTCGCAGATTGAATAGAAATAGTATACATTTAGATATAGGGTGGATAATTTTATGGCATTGCATTAAAACAAATCAGTATTTTCATAAATCTAGTCCACTGAAAAATATCAATCCATCATCATCGTTACAATCTTTGTACTAATGTTTAAAAATTCTTCAAGTAATGTAATTTAAGTTTGCTTTTTTTTTTTTTACTAGGGTTGACTGATTTTCTTTTTAATTAGATGTTTGCTAGTGCAGTTTGTCTTTTGCATAATGCATTAAATATGTAAATACTTATTAACGCTTATATCTATTATTTGAGTAAATAGGAATTTCGCTACAGTTAGAAATAATTTTTATTCATACCGTTTCTGCAATATAATGATTACAAAATATGGTGATTGTTAATTTCTTTCCTTATATTAACAAAATCTTATTAAAATAGTTTAAAAAATCAGGTTAAGCATCGGGTGTCGCCGAAAACGAATCAACACTTCAAAGAATCTAGTCCATTGAAATATATCTGCCAATCACCATCGCCATAATACTCATACTTAAAATTTCACTTAATGTTATTTAATTTATCCAAATAATTTCAGCGAATAACATTAATCTAGACGTTTTTGTTTCACTAAAGCTGAATAATAATAAAATAAAAAAGTTATGGAAAATTTTAAAAAAATTTTATGTAATTCACATTCTTTATTATTTATTAAATAATTAAAAAATAGACAGTAGTGTTGATATCTTTTCTCAATACTTTTATTCTTTGAGTAAATAGGACCTTTGCTAAGGCAAAGAATTATTTTTTTAAGTATATTTAAAATGTAAATGAACGGCAGTGTGGCGAGAGTTCGTGAATAATCACGTGACTACCCGTTTCAGATGAAAACGAAAGTAATCGCTTTTTAATTAGAAATAACTTGTTATTTATAAATATGTCTTGGGAGTTTCGAGAGATTCTGAACGCATTAATATTAAATTGAGAAATAAGTTTTCCGCAAAAAAAAAAGAAAAACAATCTTGTAAAATGATAAATACATAATAAATCTGCAAAGCTAATGAGGATAGTAATCTTCATTCAAATCAACAATGGTCTGTCAGCGTTTTGTCGACTTTTCAATCCCTTCTGCGGAATACTCTGGCATTCGCGAGTTCAGAAGCGTCCGACCTCATTTATGACCTCGTCATTCAAATGGAAGATTGTATCATCAAGATGCAAATGTGAAAACAGATAGGTATCCGAAGGTGCTATGCCTGATTCGTATGGTGGATGTTGCATCAAATCCCACTCCAGCGTGTACCCCTGAGGGGGTTTACCTTCTTTAGGTAAGCACAGGGAGTCACGCCCCGGGGTACCCTAGTGATCTGTCCTCCCTTCGTTTTCCTCTCCCTTTACTCCTACTTTCCCCTTTCTCTTCCCCCTTGTCGTGGTTGCCAAATTTACTGGTGAGGGCTTGTCATCTGTGTTTGATTACCACTCTGTTGTGTTGGACATAGATGGGAAGAGACCACCCGCGTGTTTGCCGTGCGTGGAGACCCGTGTCCCTGGAAAAGGGGATCCTGGCAGTTGAGGGGCATCTTGGTACCCCAATACACTGCTTTGGCCCGTGCTTCAGGTAAAC